GTCAGCAGTGCCACGTCACAGTGCCAGATCAGCAGTGCCACGTCAGCAGTGCCAGGTCACATTGCCACGTCAGACATAGTGCCACGACAGCAGTGCCACATCAGACACAGTGCCACGTCAGCAGTGACGTCCGACACAGTGCCACGTCAGCAGTACCACGTCAAACACAGTGCCACGTCAGCAGTGCCACATCAGCAGTGCCACGTAAGCAGCAGTGCCACGTCAGCAACATGACGGGCCTGCCAGGCCAACTGGCCAATGAGACCATTGCCGCCTACAAGCAGCGTTGCCTGGCTCAGATAGAGGCTGAGGAACAATGTCTGCTGGCAGTCGAGGCTGCCCGCGTACAGGCTGAAGAGGCAGCAGCAGCAGAGAAGTTGCGGCTACAGGCCGATGCAGACGCAGATGCCCARGCTCGCCGCAAGGAAGCCCAGGATCTGCTGCAGCGGCGTGAAGCCAACAGCATCGACAGACTCAAGTACTGGCATTTTAAACCGAACGGCGACGAGGCAACACCGGAAGAGAAGCACAAGGAGTTCCTCTCCAAACTCGTGACGCGGTTGTTGTATGCTTGCAACTACCAACGGTCAGAGTTGGAGAGACAGTACCGGGACCTGACGCAACAGCATCAGGAGTTGGCGACGCTCCGCCGCACAGTGCAGAGCCACGAGGATGCAACTCGGGCACTCAATGCCCGATTGTTGGACCTGGAACAAGCTGTACCAGGACCAGCTGCTGAAGCTTCCAGCAGTGCACCCTCAAGCCGTCAACTGGAGGACCGAGTTGACCACGTAGTGGCAATGCTCGGYGACATCAGCACCTTCGCTGCGCCGACCACCACCATCAGCAGTCAGCTGCATACATTGAAGACCAAGGTCCAGAAGCTGCAGTCGACGAACGCGGACGACAATCYGAAGATGTACAAGATGCCAACTTTCAACCTGGAGAGGTTCGACGACTACACGCAGCAGGATCCCGTCCTCTGGTGGGAAGCATTCACAACGCAACTCAGGATTCTGCCAGTAGCCAAGCATGYGTACATCGGCGCCCTGTTCCTGAACTCAAAGGGCGGATGCCAGACCTGGTTGAGCCACCTGGCAACCTCCCACGGCGTCGACGTACCAGACTTGAAGGACGTAATCACATGGGAGGAACTGACACGGCTGTGGAAGAAGCGGTTCATCGTCGACGACGCGCCGGCACTCGCCATCAACCGTTTGTTCACCATGTCACAGGGCAACACAGCAACACGGGACTGGCTCACAGAGTGGCAGAAGATTGCAGCTGTGCCCAATCTGAACATACCATTCGAGCATCCACGCCGTGAGTTCTACAACAGGTCATGTGCGGCATTGAGCCAGGCTCTTGGTGATCGCGAGCAGTACTCAACCTTCGTGGAGATCATTGACAAAGTGAGGGAGATCATCAAGACCAACAGGTCAGCTGCACAGGAGAAATCAACATCATGGCAGCCGACCTATGTGGAGAAGGTACGAATTGGTCTGCCACAGTAGCACTTCGCTGCAGTCCAGCAGGACAGTGGAGATAACCCAGCAGCCACTCCAGCATCAAGTGACGGAGATCAGGTGGCCCCTGTCCAACCGCGAAGCACCAACAAGTCCCGCAACAATGGGAAGGCGAAATCCGCATCGCAGGCCGGAAATGGACAGCCAGGACAGTTTCCATGGGTCAAGTTTGGCTTGACCGAGGC